GCCTCGGATTCTCCTCAGACTCTCCTCTTTAGGGGATCCCTGGGTGGCTCAGTGGTTTAGCGCCTGCCTTTGGCCCAGGCCGTGATCCTGGAGTCCCTGGATCGGGTCCCGCATCGGGCTCCCGGCATGGAGCCTGCTTCTCCCTCTGCTTCTCCCTTTGCCTGTGTCTCTGCCTCTCTCTCTCTCTCTCTCTCTCTCTCGGTCTATCATAAATGAATAAATAAATCTTTAAAAAATATATTAAAAAAAAACCAAAACTCTCCTCTTTGGCGTTGGAGCCCATCCGTCGCTTTCCCGTTGCTGCGGCGGGGGCCTGGTTCGGGGACCTCGTGGTCCGGGCTGGGACCATAGGTAGCATCCCCACTGATCTCCATAAGCTTTCCCCTTGAGGGGGTCACCTGTTCCTGTCACTCGGGTCAGCGCTCCGCAAGGTATGATGCTGGACACCAGCAGCAGCACCACCCCCTGGACTGGCCCAAAATGCTGGTTCTCAGGTTCCCACCGGCCCCCAATCAGGTCTCCGGGAGGGGACCCAGAGTCTGCATTTCAGGGAGCCCTTCGGCGGCCCCCGAGGCTCGGTAGGGTCGGGCACGTCTGGCTGCGGACTCCCACACCTTTACCGTGGGCCCCACTTCACAGCCGAGCCTCCCTCCGGGGGTGCAGGTGGAGTGTTCCGGGGAGAAGTAGGCCGCGCGGGAAAAGGGAAACCGAGCTGTACGTGGGGCTCGCGTGGGGCTGCGGGTGTCTGAGCGTCCGCCGACTGTCGGGGCTCCCTCCGGGAGCTTGCGGCGACACAGTGACGGCCTCGGTGGAGGCGCAGCAATCAGGATGGACTCCCCGTGGTCGCCGCCAAGTCCCCTCCGCTGCCCACGGCCCGCGTCTTACCCGGGGCGCCAGCGTCCTCCTCGTAAGTCCTCCACTCCCCTGTGCGCAGTGAGCCTCTGAGTGTTAGGGACCCAGGCCTGGAGGCGCTGGGAGCCGGGAGGCCAGGCCTGCCCCGCGAGGGGCCCTGTTGGGGTGTCTGCAGCGCCCCCGGCCCGGGGCAGGGCCAGCTGCTCCCGAGCTGCCCACAGAGCCCCGCGATGTGAGGTCAAGGCCTCGGGGCCATGGAGAGCTGAGCGGGCCTATCCTGGGGGCCCGAGGGGCAAGGCACCAAAGCAGGTACAAGGAAAACAGGACGTGCTTGCCGGGGCCGGAGACCTGGCGGAGCCCGGGGTGGCGGGGACATGCTGCCCCCCCCCCCCCCCGGCCTGCAGGTGGAAGGGCGGCAGCAGCGGGGGCCGGGCACCGCGGGCAGAGGTCCAGGGCCTGCGGGCCGCGCAACAGCACAGGCTTCCGGGGGGGGGGACCAGCACCCACCCCCACCTTTATTAGCATCCTCGCATCTCTGCCTTTATCCTGGGGTAAGTGGAGGGGAAGGCCGGGCGAGGGCGGGCAGGGGCAGCAGGATAGGGCGAGAACAGAAGACGCTGCTCATTGATGGTTCTCAGTCTCGTCTGCACCTTAGGGCCACCCGGAGAGCTTCATCCCGGTCCGATCCCCAGAGACCCTGGTGCTATCTAGGGGTCTAGCCTCCGCATTAATGCTGCTCGCATTTTAATGTGCATGGGAGTCCTCTGCAGATCTTGTTAAAATGCAGATCCAGATTGAGAAGGTTTGGGGCTGGGCCTGAAGAACATGCATTTTAACAAGATCCCAAATGATGCTAATACCTCCCATCTGCGGATCACATTTTCCGGAGCACAGTCCGCAGCCCGGGTGCTCAGAGGGTAGTCCCGGGACGGGCAACATCGGTATCACCTGGGAACCTGGGAGAGACGCAGAGTCCCGGGCCCCATCCCAAACCCAGGGAATCCGAAACTGCGGCGGGGAGGGGCCGTCTCCTGTGCCTGAACACACCCCGTGGGGATCCTGATGCGGCTGAAGTTGGAGAAGAGAATTTGAGAGACGAATAAAAAGCCAGAGTGAAGGGGGGGGGGGCCCTGGGGGGCTCAGTGGTGGAGCATCTGCCTTCCCCTCGGGGCGTGACCCCGGGGTCCCGGGATCGAGTCTCACATGGGGCTCCCTGCAGGGAGCCTGCTTCTCCCTCTGCGTGGGTCTCTGCCTCTCTCTGTGTGTCTCTCATGAAAAATAAAGAAAATCTAAAAAAAGAAAAAAAAAAAAAGGAGGGAAGGGAGCTGATATTGGCTCCAAGGGCAAATTAATGAATTATCATGCAAGTAAGACAGAAACACAGATCGGGGTTTGTTCTACGTACACGCTACAGTCACGAACCAGCGTAACCATTACAATAAAATGAAGACGTGACTTCGAAACCTGCTGGCGTTCACTTTTTTTTTTTTTTAATCTTCTATCATCGCAAGCCGTAGAAGTTCCCCGGGCGTCTTGGAGATGAGCCTGGTCACCGTGGGGGCATAGGGACGGGAGGGAGGCGAGGTGCAAGTGGCCGCGAGTGACCTCCGCGGGGCGGCAGAGGGCGGGCTGCGGGCTGGGCCGGGTGGGGACACTGCCAGGCCTGAGGTCGCTGAGGCGCCGCCTCCCGGGCCGCTCCTCGGGTCGCAGCCCGCGTCTGTCCCGCGTTGTCCCGGAGCGCAGCTCCCGCCGCCCCACTGCGCTGCCTCAGCCTCCGGGTCGTGCCTCCGCCGGCCTGAGGACCCCTGTCCCCTCCCTTGCGGCCGGTGGAGCGGACAGCCGTCGTCTGCAGGGCGAGTCCTGCAAGGCTTGTCCCCCAACCCTGGGCCGCTCCTCCGCCCTCCGGCCGGCTGGCCTGACGCACAGGTGCCCGTTCTTCTCTAGCAAGTGTGGGTTAGGGACGCCGGGGGCTCAGGGGTTGGGCCCAGGCCGTGACCCGGGGTCCCGGGATCGAGTCCCGCATCTGCTCCCCGCACGGAGCCTGCCCCCCTCTCTCTCTGGGCCTCTCATGCATAAATACAATCTTCTAAGAAATAATTGTGGATTGTTTTCCTCGGAAGAGGACAAGTAGCGTCCGTGTGCCCCTCCGTAGAGCTCGCGAGCCGGGCCCCCGCGGAGCGCCAGGCCAGAGGCCTGCTCCCAGGGCAGGTGCCGACGTGTGGAGGCGGCTCCCAGCCCGTCGCGGTCTACGTAGGCCCTTCAGGAGGTTGGCTCCCAGGAACGAAGAGCCTCACACCCATGACCAACGAGTCTTTAAACCTTGACTTAGGGACGCCTGGGGGCTCAGCGGTTGGGGGGCTGCCTTCGGCCCAGGCCGTGACTCCGGGTCCCGAGATCGAGTCCCGAATCGGGTCCCCGCAGGGAGCCTGCTTCTCCCTCCGCCTGTGTCTCTGCCTCTCTCTGTGTCTCTCATGAATAAATGAATCTTTAAAAAAGTAAATAAATAAAGCTCGACTTCAAACACTGGACCTGCACGACCACTGACGCCTCCCTCCCGAAGGCTCCCGCCCGCCCGCCTGCCGGCAGAGGTGACAACCATTGCAGGAGGAGAAGGGGGGCGTGGTCAGTCATTGAACCTGCTGCTTCCGTGTCCCCCCCCCCCCCCCGCCCGAGGACTTGCACGGGGACTCCAGGTTCGGGGGGGGGGGGGGCTGTGCAGCAGCTCCTTGGGACGTTTCCCGGAGTGGAAATGCCTCACACAGAAAAGGGAGGAGCGTCTGCGAGAGTGACCCCGACGTGCTGTCCCGCAGGCTCGTCTCCTGTGGGTTCGTCTGGATGACACAGTTACACACCTCAAACGAGAAAATGCCATTAGAGAGGGGGCTGACGTGGATGCCAGGACCGGGCCTAATCCCCCAGCGGGTCCCACCTGGCGCTGTCTGGCGTGTCACACACTCAGCATCCGCTGGGCCGTGTCCGGCCTGCAGACAGGAGAGGCCCCTGCCCCTGCGAGGGGCACAGCCCCTGGGCCCTGGGGTGCGGGGGGGGGGGTCCAGGACCGAAAGCCCCCCTCCGGGGATCCCCGAGCCGGGGAGAGAACAACTTGGACCTGGCAACGATGTTTCAAATACTCTGGACCACGCCCCGCGGTGAGGACACATTTTTATTTTCCTGAACCAGGAAAGCCACCAGCTGGGCTTGGGGGGGCGGCGGGGGTCACAGTCCGCGGACCTCTGCGCTCCCTCCACGCTGCAACCGGCGTTCACAGGCTGCGGGAGGGGGACTCCAGACACTCGGCGTCGGGGACCTGGGGACACGCTCGGGCCACAGGAGAGCCTGATGCCAACCCCTCTTCTCTGGAATCAGCCCGAAAAAGCTCAAGAGACGGGGCCTTGCCTCTGGATCTACGGCCCCCTGGGACAGCGGTCGGCTTTGGCCCGTGACCTTCTGGGGGGCGGCCTCGGTGGCCCGACAGCCAGTCCGCAAGCGCCAAGGCCGCCCAGTGCCACCCGGGCTGGCCCGTCCCCGCGGTCCCCCGGTCCCCCGTGGGCCTCTGCGCACAGGCTCCCCCTCCCCGGACCAGGGAGGCTCTGTGAGGAAGGAGCTGCTGCGTGAGACAACGGGCCCCGGTGTCGACGCTGGCGTGACCGTATTTGACCCGAGTCCTTTTTGCCACTATTCACCAAGTAGCCCCGCCACATACTGCTCGGGGATGGGTCCCGGTGGCTTCCCAGCGAGGGCAGGGCCACGCCGTCGGGACCCCTCATGGGGACTTGGCTGCGTTGCTGTGTCTGGTTCCCCGTGTGAATGACAGGACGTTGCCAGCATGTTAAGGGGACAGTGCGGGGACTGGGGAGGCCCCTGGAGGCGGGGGTGGGGGGTGGCAGCCCTTGCAAACAGGGCTGGGTTCTAAACTGTGAAACACAAAACAGTCACCGGGTCGTTGGCCAGAGGCCCGCCAAGCTGTCACCCAGCCCCCTGCATCCGTGGACTCCCGCCTGCGGCGACAGCAGCGTCCCCACAGCGGCTGAGAAGCCTAGACACCAGACCTCACACTCGCCCGCTCCCCCCTGCGACATCGGACCCTTGGGTCTGTCACCCCTAAGACAGGAATGAGGACAGCACGTGGCCCACCACGCCGAGGCCGCTAAGGTGCAGTGACGATCTTTTAATATGTCATCGGTTGGGGATCCCTGGGTGGCTCAGCGGTTTAGCATCTGCCTTCGGCTTGGGGCGTGACCCCGGGGTCCCGGGATCGAGTCCCGCGTTGGGCTCCCTGCATGGAGCCTGCTTCTCCCTCTGCCTGGGTCTCTGCCTCCCTCTGTGTGTCTCTCATGAATAAATAAATAAAAGTCTTAAAAAAATTAAAATAAATAAAACGTCGTCGGTTGTCCCTTCGCGGGGAGGCCACGCCTGGTGCTGCGGGGGGCCTGGCGCTGGGCAGCTGGGGGGGGGCGGCCGGGGGGGCTTCTGGCTGCTGCTCGCCCCGCAGGTCTGGGAGGCGGGACTGGCCCCCAACTCTGCCACTGGCTGTGAGCCCCCCTGCAAGGAGTCCTCGCGCCGCACGCACAGCAGCGCCTCCGAGCAGGGCCCTGCCAATAGCCTCGGCTCGGCTCGGAGGCGACGGTTTCGGCGGCCTCTCTCCGCGGACTCTCGGGCCGGGACACGGGCAGTCGCCCCAGCTCCCACGTGCAGGGCGCGAACACTGAGGACCGCTCCCCCGGGCACACTTTGTGACGTGGGGTTCCCGGGGCTGCGGTCAGCGTCCTGGAGGGGCACGGGGGGGGGGGGGTGCAGGGGCGTAGCTTGGCTCAAAAAAAGAAAAAAAGAAAAAAAGAAATCACGCTGCCCAGGCTGCTGCTGAGGCTGCCGAACGCCGACCTCTCTGCCCGGTGCTTCCTGGCGGCCTCAGTTTCCCCACCGACCGGGCCTGTTTCCCTACACACCTGTTTTCCCTGAAGTCCCAGGGTCGTGGCGGGAAGCGACCTGCCTGGCTGCGCCGGGGGACGCCGCCGAGCGCCCGTGGGGGCCGGTCTCCGCCAAGCCGGCAGCGGCCCTCCCCGGGCCCCCCTCCTGGGCCGCGCTCCCGCAGACGCGGCTCCGCGCGGGCCGCCGGGGCAGCAGCAGTTTCCGGGCGGCCGCCCGGTACTTCTTGGAGATGAGGTTGTAGAGGATGGGGTTGATGGACGCGCTCAGATAGAAGAGCTGCAGCGCCACGATGTTGAAGTACTGGGAGAAGAGCATCATGCGCGAGTCTTCGGTGTTTATGTAGATGATCCTGCCCACGTGGAAGGGCAGCCAGCACACCAGGAACGCCAGCACCACGGCCACTGCAAGACACGCGGCACCGGCGTCAGCTCCGCGGCCGCCGGCCCTGGGCCCCCCGAGACCATCGGAAACAACACGGGACAGCAAGCGCCTCCCACAGAACGTGGGCTCGGCCAGACCGCGCCCGGACACGCACCAGGCCGCAGACAGCGCGACTCGGCCCTTAGAGCCCCGCGCTCAGGGCTGCAGGGGGCCAGCAGGGGGCCAGCAGGGGGCCAGCAGGGGGCCAGCAGGGGCCACCTGCTACCAGCGCCCCCGGGCTTCCTGCCGCAGACCTACTCGGAGGCAGGCTCTCTGCCTTCCGCTGCAGACAGCCCCGCAACAGGTCTGGGCTCTCTCTCTCTCTCTCTCTTTTTTTTTTTTTTTTTTTTTTTTTTAAATATGGGCCTGGTTGACTTCAGCCTGCAGAACAGCTTGACACTAAGTCTAAACCAGGTTAGGTGGTTGTTTTTTTTTTTTTTTTTTTTTTGAGCCAACCAGGTGCCCCTAGGATAAATTTTTAATACAAGGCAAAGTCAGTCCACAATACAAAAATCTAAAAATCCAACCCACTTTTCCTGCCTGGCATCTAGGAGGGTGGGGGGGGGGGCGGTGAGGCTTCCTTTGCCTGCAGGGGACGGGAAGGGGGATGAAGGGACCAGGCGGGGGGGGGGGGGCCCGCTGGAGGGATCCTGTTGCCCCTCCCCTGGGTGGCCCAGGGCGTGACCCCGGGGTCCCGGGTTCGAGTCCCGCGTCGGGCTCTCTGCACGGAGCCTGCTTGTCTTGTCTCTCTGCCTGTCTCTCTCTCTCTCTGTGTGTGTCTCTTATAAAATCTTTTTTTTTTTATAAAGTGGTTTGTTCAAAAAAAAAAAAAAAAAAAAGCACCAGCAGGTTAGCGTGCTGCAGGCCGCCTCCCCAGCGGCAGGTACCCTCCCGCCCCGCGGACCGGCCCCCTCCCCCCTCCCCGCCCCCCTCCCCTCCCCGCGCCCCGCGCCGCCCGGGGCCGCCCGGGGCCGCCCGGGGCCGCAGGCGGCGCCACTTACGCAGCACGCGGACGGCCTGGCGGTGGCCCCGCTCGCGCCCCGAGGCGGCCCGGCCCCGCAGCGGCCCCCGGCGCCTCCGCAGCTCGCGGCCGATGCGCCCGTACAGGACGCAGAGGCACAGGAAGGGCAGGAAGAAGTAGGCGGTGGTGACCCAGAGCATGACGCGCAGCGCGCCCAGCTGCGACGGGCTGGGCCGGCACTCGCGGCTGAAGAGCGCCCGCGCCTGCCGCGCGCTGCCGTTGAGGCCCGGGCCGCCCGCGTCCTGCTCGACGCCCACCACGAAGAGGAAGGGCGCGGCCGACAGCAGCGCCACGGCCCAGAGCGCCGCGATGAGCGCGCGCGCGCGGCGCCGGGACAGCAGCGCGCGCGCGCGGAGCGGGCGGCACACGGCCCGGTAGCGCTCGACGCTCAGCGCCGTCACGTGCAGCAGCGTGGCGTAGGTGCAGCCCTCGCCCAGGTACAGCGACAGGCGGCACAGCAGCTGCCCGAACACCCAGGGCCGCGAGCGCCACAGGCGGTACAGGTCGAGCGGCAGCCCGAGCAGGATGAGCAGGTCGGACACGGCCATGCTGCCCAGGTACAGGCTGCTGGCGCTGCGCATGTCGCGGTAGCGGCCGACCAGCAGCACCGTCACCAGGTTGCCGCTCACGCCCACGGCGAACAGGCCCAGGCACACGGCGGTCACCGGCACCAGCGCCCCCAGGGGGAAGGGCGAGCACAGGCGCTCGTCGCACGGCAGCTGCGCGCCCTCCGCGCCGTCGCTGCTGTTCCCGGGGCCGCCCATGGACGCGCCGGCGGGCGCCCCGCAGCCGCCGCCGCCGCACCCGCCGCACCCGCAGCCGCCGCACCCGCACCCGCAGCCGCACGCGCCGCCGCGGGCCCGCACCACGCGGCTCGCCGCCTCCCGTCCGCAGCGCCCGGGCTCTGAGCCGCCGGGGTCCGCCGGGAGCCCTCCCCGGCCGCGCGCAGTCCCCGCCCCCCGCCCCGGCCCCGCCCCCGGCCCCGCCCCCGGCCCCTCCCCCGCCGCCCCCCGCCCTCTCCTCCGCGCGGAGGAGGGAAACCGCCGGGAACTGGGGGGGGGGGGGGGGAGGCCGCGGCGCTCCAGTCCTGCCCCGTCCCGGGAAGCGGCTGCCGAAACCCCGCGGGGCGGGCGCCGTAGCCCCGAGGACGCCGGGGGACCCCGTCGGGGACCCGGCCGCGGACCCCGGCTGGCGGCTGCGTCAGCGCCCCGGACAGGCTGCCCGCGCGCCCGCAGCACGGGTCCCCCACAACCCCGAGCCCCCCCCGCGCCTGGATCTGACCCTGCCCCGACGGAGCGATCTCGGGCCGCCCGCGCATCGCCGGCCCAGGGCTCCGCTTCGGCAGGTGGGCGAGGCCCGGCGCCGACCCCGCCCGCCACCCCGGAGCCCCTGAGCCGCTGCTTGCGGAGAACCACGCCCCGGAGGACCCCTCCGCGCCCTCAAAAGATCCGCTAACCCCAGAAAGCGGGGCGCTCGCCAGCCCCGGAGGAGGCGCCCCAACCCGGGGAGACCCACCTGACCTCGTGGCCGCAGGCGGCCCGCGCGGGGCGCTCGCCCGCACCTCCGTGTCCCCGGAGCCCCTGGGCCCGAGCCAAGCGCGACCCACTCGTCACTCTCCGCCCGCAGGGCCCGAGTCTCCTCCCATATCCCCACCCCTGCAATCCCCCACCTGCCCCCTCAGTCCCCCACCCGCCCCCGCGGCCCCCCACCTGCCCCTGCAATCCACCTACCCCCTCGGTCCCCCACCTGCTCCCTCGGTCCCCCCCCTGCCTCCGCGGTCCCACCCAGCCCCCCCGCAGCCCCGCACCCAGCCCCTCCTGCAGCCACCCCCAGGCCCGCCCCCCGCAGTGCCCCCAGCCCCCCCTCCCGCAGCTCTCCCGTAGCCCCCGCGGTCCCCCACCTGCTCCCTCAGTCCCCCACCTGCTCCCTCGGTCCCCCACCTGCCTCCGCGGCCCCACCCAGCCCCGCACCCAGCCCCTCCTGCAGTCTCCTCCCAGCCCGCCCCCCGCAGTGCCCCCCAGCCCCCCCTCCCGCAGCTCCCCCGCAGCCCCACCCAGCCCCGCACCCAGCCCCGCACCCAGCCCCTCCTGCAGTCTCCTCCCAGCCCCCCCCCGCAGCTCCCCCCAGCCCCCGCGGTCCCCCACCCAGGTCTCCCCACCCCCCGCCCCCCGCAGTCCTCCCCGACCTTCTCCCTGCCCCCGCCCCCGCCCCAAGGCCTCCCCGCTTCGCCCCCCGAACCCCCGGAGCCGCGCACAGTCCCTCCCAGGCGACCGCCGCCCACGCCGCGCCCCTCGTAGCTGTCGTCCCGCCCCGACGAGACCCGAGCCACCGCCCGGCGACGGGGAGCCCCGCCAGCCCAGCCCAGCCCAGCCCAGCCCAGCCCCGCTCGCGGGCAGCCGTGGGGCGCCCACCCGAGGTTCACCGCCTGCGCCTGCCCTGCGCCGGGGGCCGCTCGCACTCGCCTACTCCCCTGTGCACGCCTCCCGCCGTCCGGCCACGGCCTCCCCGACCGCCCTCCTCCCCCCTGCTCTCCGCCGGGCCCTCGGCTCCAGGAAAGACGGCACCTGCCCCCCCCCCCCCCCCGGCCTCGGAATCCCGCCTCCCGGGTCACCGCCAGGCCCCGCGAAACTGCAGGGTCCCCAGTCAGCGACTCCGCGTCTCCCCCCCGCCCCCCTCCCCCTCCCCGCCCCCTCCCCGCCCCCTCCCCGCACGGAAGATGCAGTTCCGGCCTCTGTGGTGGGCTCCCCTGGGCGCCCCCGGCTGCGGGCGGGGACCCCTGACGCTGTCGCCCGAGCAGGGATGCGCTCGGCGGGGCTCGGTCCTCGGTAACCCGGGCGGCGGGGCGGGCGGGTGCGGCCTGGAGGTCGGTCCTCGGGGCTCCGGGGACGCCCCCCGGGTGGCCGACCCCCTCCCCGGGGCGCCCCCGGCTGCGGCCCTGGGCTGCCCCGCGCCCCGCCCACAGCGCGCTCCTCCCGGCTCTGCGGGGCTCCCGTCCGGGGGGCGCCCCTCGGGCCCCGGGTGCGCACCGGGCTTGGCGCCGCGGCGTCGGCAGAGCCAGGTGCCCCGTGGTGGCCGCGGGGGCCGGAGCCGGAGCCGGAGCCGCGCTGGGCTCGCAGGGCCGCCCCGCTGGGGTGGGCGCCCCGAAGCTGTCAGCGGCCCCGGGGGGCACTGCGTACCTCGCCATCCGGCCGCCGGCGCCCCAAGGCCCGCAGGTCCGCTGCCCTTGGGCCGCGGGGGAGGCAGGCGCGGCGGCTGGCGCATCCGCAGCCCGCGCGACGCGAGGCGTCAGCACCGGCCCCAAGGGGGACAGGCCCGGCGGGAGGGGCCCACCTGCGGCCCGACGCCGGGCTGTGGGCACCTCGGGCTGCGGGCGTCACGACAGCCGCTTCCTCGGGTGCCGACCCCGGCTCCAGACCCCGGCCGCGGGGGCCCGGACCAGCTCCGCCACGGGGAACCCCGGCCACACACCGCGGGCGGGCCCCGCTGACCCTCGCCCGGAACCCCCGCCCCGCCCCGGGACCCCGGCCCCGCCCCGAACCCGACCTCGCCCCCCAATCCCGACCCCGCCCCGGAACCCCGCCCCCGCCCCGAACCCCGACCTTGGCCCCAGAACCCCGACCCCGCCGAGGGGCGCGCGGTCCGTCGCTGGCCGCCTGGCCCGTGGTGCTCGGGTCCCGCACTCCGGGGACCAGGAGGAGCGGCCCGGGGGTCTGCGCCCAGGTCACGGCCCGGTCACGCCCCGGCCCCGCCCGCACCTGCACCCGCGCCCCTCCCGGCACCTCGGGGCCCGTCTGCCCTTCGGAGCCCTCGGCCGGGCCGGGGTCGGGGGGGGGGCGTCTGCCCGCGGCTCGGGGTGCGACCCCCCCCCCGGGGGCAGGGCGCTCAGGGAGCGGACACCCGGCCGCAGGGTGCAGGACGCCGCCCTCGGGTGCTCCACCGGGTCTCCCGCCCCCGGGACCGCGCGGGCCCCAGATCCTGCAGCTTCATGGGCGACGCCGACCCCGACCCCGGCCCCTCCGCTCTGCGCCGCGTTGATTCCTCTGGCTGTGGGCGAGCTGAGCATCTCCTGGCACCGCGCAGTCCCCCGCCTGGCCCGCCCCGCACAGCGGGGACTTCGTCGTCCAGTATTTAAGAATTTATTATGTTTTCGTGTATTAGAGAGGTTGGTAGATTAGCCCTTTTCCGGACTACGAATTGCAATATTTTTTCCCCAGGTTTGCTATTTGCTTGAACTTTTAAAAAAAACTGCTCTGCAAAACAAACAAAAAAACAAATAACAAAAAAACTCCCGAAAAAACAAAAAGAAAACACAAACTGCTATGCAGTTTTTATTTATATGGCATCAAAATAATCAATGTTCCCTTTTGTGCGTTCTACGTGTTCAGGCATGATGTGCAAGGCCGCTCCCATGCCGGGATTGTAAAGGATTTCTTTCACATCTTTTATTTAATGGTTTCATTGTTCACATTTAAATGTTTGATTCGTTTGGAATTTCATCCTCGTGTAAGGTGCTTGTGAGATACGGACCCAAATTTTGATTTTTAGGTTGTCCCAACATCATCTATTGAATTGCTCATTTTTACTCCACTGCCTTGAGGTGCCAGCTTTATCAAATACTAAATTCTTGCATATTCTTGGGACTATGGGCTTTCTGTTCTGTTCCTTCAGCGTTGTGTGTGCGTGCGCAGGTCATTTCCAGGGGCTAGGCCTCTCCCACCGCTCTTTTGCAGAGCTTTTCCATTTTTATTTTTCCGAAGGAATGGCAGTGCCGTACTGTTTTATTTATAGTGGGTTTATAGTATATTTGAAAACCTTGTGGCCCTTAAAACAATTCTTACCTATATGGTTTTACGTCGTATATGCTCTTCCTGCAAGTGTGTGTACTCCCGGGTTCCTTGCGGTTGTACCCTCTTCCCCCTTTGGAGGTCATTCTGAGCCAGATTTATAGGGACTGGATACCAGTGATTATTAGACAGTAGACTTCATGCTGGTTTAAATGGGTCTGAATCAAAGGTACAGACACTAGAGTCTAACACATGAATTTTCCTCAAATTTGGTTTTTGAGATTACTTTTCAGAACACAGGCTGTGAGAAGCAAGGTTTATACTACATGCGAACATTCCTACTGAACGGCTGTTGTCATTGGTAAACCGTGTAGCTGCAAAACATAGTTTTTCCTCGAAGACCGCTGCATCATCCTAGAAATATTGAGTATGTCAGGTAGAGCTGGTACCTTGGGCCTAGGCAGGGCCACATCCCTTAGTCACTATCATGGACGGCGTAAAAGATTCAACGCACCCGCTCAAAGGAGTAGGAACGTCCAAGGAGGTCGGGAAGTCTGCAAATCACCAAGTGAGAAGTTGGCTTGTGTCCTTAGCAAAATAGACGTAATGATTGGGCCAGTTTATTTTGATTCGATGACATCCAGGATTCTCTAGTCCTGTGCAATTTGTATGTTAGTCTTTTTTTTCTAAGATTTTATTTATCTATTGAGAGAGAGAGAGAGAGAGAGAGAGAGAGAGAGCGTGCGTGTAGCAGAGACCCAGGCAGAGGGAGAAGCAGGCTCCACGCAAGGAGCCAGAGGTGGGACTCGATCCCGGGTCTCCAGGATCAGGCCCTGGGCTGAAGGTGGAGCTAAACTGCTGAGCCGAGCCCCCCGGGCTGCCCTGTATGTTAGTCTTTAGGTTCATCTTATATTCGTTAAAAAAAGGGGTTAAACTTCCCCAACATAAAATTACCCATTTTAAAGAGAACAATTCAGCGGCACTTAGCGCATTCACGGTGTTGTGCAACCACGACCTCTGTGGAGTTCTGAAACATTTCCAAAATACAACCCCAGGCCCATAAAGCAATTACTCTCCATTTCCTCCTCCCTGCAGACCCTGGCAACCACTAATCTCCGTTAGTCTTTGTGGGTTTACCTGTTCCAGGTACTCCATGTGAATAGAATCATACGCCATGTGACCTTTTGTGCCTGGTTAATCTTTCATTTAGCCTAATGTTTTCCAGGTTCATCCACATCGTAGCTATATCCCCTTTTTGAATATGTTCGCTTGTCTCATTTGTGGAAGGGGAGATAAAGGCACCTGCCTCCTTGGATGTGGGAGTATTTAAGAGTGTGGGTTATTTCCGGGCTGGGGGTAAACTCAAAGAGGGAGGAGGGAGTCAAGTATCAAAGGATGAAACTAAAGAAATTAGAGCTTCCCACTTGGCGCGACCCTGGTAGCAGATCGTCCTTGCCGGATCTCTGCTCACTCCGCAGAGGGCTGCCGACTGTTTCGGGGGGGCAAGTGTTCAGCAGCCGCTTGGCATGCAGAAAGCACCCCAGAAATACTCTTCTAAAGGCAACATTGAAGTCAGTTATTAATTTGATTTCCTTACTGAATTCAGGACTCGTGGGAGAGCGCAGAGGACAGTGGTCAAGTGGGGGGCGCTGGACCACCCAGCTGGATTCCAGTCTCCTGGACGTTGGCAGGTGCGAAGCTCCTCTGTGTTTCAGTTCACATGTAACACAGCAGGCGGGAGGAAGACGGAGGGTAACTGCGGGGAAGCACTGCTCGCCACGCGGAGCGCACTGCTCCACAGACGCAAGCCATTACGACGTGCGTAAGTCACGGGGCTTCAAGATCTACCCATTCCAAAAATCTTTTCCTTGGCAAATTTCCCATAGCAGGCATCCTTTTTATCATGTAAGATAAAAAATAGTCCTTATAGCATCTAAACATTTGACGGCCCCGCTCTGTACGTGGAAGATTTGATGACTAGAACTATTAAAATCTTAGTTCTGCCAACTTTTTTTTTTTTTCATTTTCTCCCTTTTAAGAGTGTCAGGGAGAGAATAATGAATAAGTAAAGGGATACTCTTGAGGGTATATACACAATCTTAAAAAGTGCATATGAAAATAGAAGATTTTAAAAGTTCTTTAAAAATATGAGGCATTATCACCTATATTGATGGTAGATGGTTAGGTTACGGTGTAACTGGTTTTAGGTTTTGGAGAATCATTTTCTTTTGTAATCTGTCTGCTTGATTCAGTCACCACCCACATGGGATCCTTCTATGCGAATGTTTGTGATGGTGAGGACCATCATGCAATCCACGGCAGACAAGACATAAAATTCCTTTTCCCAACTACAGAAAAAAAAAAAAAAAAGACATGCAACACTGTGAATAAGTATCATCTTCTTCTCAAGGCTGGATTCATACTTAGTAGCTTCTGTGAAGTGATTCTTGTATTCAGAATATCTCCTCTTCCCCAACCTAACATTTTAAGCTTTATCATGGTCCTGGCGGTGTTCACTCTAAGTGATCTACCTGGATTTTAAAAAGCAGTACACAAAAATAAATTCAAAATGGATAAAAGACTTAAAACATGAGGCCTGGAACCATAAAAATCCTAGAACACAGGCAGTAACTTGACATTGGTCATAGCAACTTCTTTCTTGATCTGTCTCCCAAGGCAAAGGAAACAGAAGCAAAAATAAACTATTGGGACTTCATTGAACTAAAAAGCTTCTGCACAGGGAAGGAAACAATCAACAAAACTCAAGGCAACCTGTGGAACTGGAGAAGAATTTGCAAATGACATACCTGATAAAGAGCGCCTAAAATACACAAAGAACTTATAAAACTCAACACCCCCAAAATTAATAATCCAATTAAAATGGGCAGAAGACATGAGTAGATACTTTCCCAAAGAAAGCAAATAGATGGACAACAGACACATGAAAAGATGCTCGACGTCACTGATCAACAGGGAAACACGAATCAAAGCTACATTGAGATTATCACCCCACACTCGCCGGAATGGCGAAAATCAACAACACAAGAAACAAAAGGTGTTGGTGAGGATGCGGAAAAGGAACCCTTTTGCACTGCTGGTGGGAATTCAGACTGGTGCAGCCACTCTGGAGAACAGAGTGGAGGTTCCTCACGAAGTTAAAAATAGAGCTACCTTACACTTCAGCAACCACACTACTGGGTGACATAAAAAGCATATGAAAGAATATAGAAAGACTAATTCAAAAGGATACATTCACCCCGATGTTTACAGCAGTATTACCTACAACAGCCCAGTTATGGAAACAGCCCAAGGGTCCATCGATTGATTGATGGATAAAGATGTGGTGTATATACACTGGAATATTACTCAGCCATGAAAAAGAATGAAATTTTGCCATTTGCAACAATGTGGATAGACCTAGAGTATTATGCTAGGCGGAATCAGTCAGAAAAAGACAAATACTGTATGATTTCACTCATGTGGAATTTAAGAAATGAGCAAAGGGGGGAGAGGGAGGGAGGGAGGGAGGGAGAGGCAAACCAAGAAACAGACGCTCGACTATAGAGAACAAACTGATGGGGTACCAGAGGGGAGGTGACGGAGATTAGGGAGGACACTTGTATGATGAGCAGCAGGTGATGTACGGACAAGTGCTGAATCACTGTGTTGTACACCTGAAACTAATATTACACTGTATCTTAACTGGAATTAAAAAACAAAACAAAACAAAAAACAAAACAGGGCAGCCCGGGTGGCTCAGCGGTTTAGCACCTGCTTTTGGCCCAGGGTGTGATCCCGGGGTCCCAGGATCGAGTCCCACATCGGGCTCCCTGCATGGAGCCTGCTTCTCCCTCTGCCTGTGTCTCTGCCTCTCTGTCTCTCAAGAATAAATAAATAAAATCTAAAAAAAAAAAAAAAAAAAAAAAAACAGACAAAAAACCCACTAAAAAAAAAGCAGTGTATCCCCATTGAGATCTGTGGATGGAAATTTTAACAGGGTAAGTGAGAGGGAACATTGAATTTTCTGGTGTGTGTAAGAATTTTCAGGCATGGACTGAACTTTCTGGCACAGCACTGCAGATGGACATGTTGAATTTCCAGGTGGACGGCAGACCTGGGGCCAGATAGCAGCACCAGTAACGGGAAGTTGCGAGGCCCCTGATCGTGGGAGAGAGGATACTAGGAAATAGGTGAGGAATGCAGGAAAGGTATGGAGGTCAGAGATTTCCTTTCCAATGAGGACTTTAGCTCAGAGCCATCCTTATCCTTTATACATGTAAAGGGAGCAAGATATCTAGAGATCAAGTCACTAGGATAAAACTTCTAATTCCATTCTTTAATCTACTGGACGTCACCTTCTTGAATGTGGGTCCTCTCACACTGAAGATCTG